CCTCCTCAGTACCGTGACCAACACACATCCTCCGACATGCTATTGTCCTCGCCACCGCGTCATCCTCCTAACATCGACACAGACACAGTCTCTCCCCGCACCCTCCATCCCTTCCATATCTTTCGTTTCATATCTCAATCCAGCCCCCTCCATCCCCCCCTCCCTCCTCCCATATTCCTTCCCCCCCTTCCTTTACCCCCGGCCCTAGGCGTGTCATGTCCGCATACCCACTTATCGCCTTGACCGTCAACTCGCCCCCGGGCTTGCCCGCCTTCACCACCAAGCGACTTGGCACAGAGCTTGCATATCACCCGGAGCTCTCCTGTGGGAACCCCGACAAATTCCATTTCGCCATGGACCGTACCTCTCACCACCACCACCACGACCACCCCGAGCCCTCCTTCCCGCAGCCCGCCGTCCCCGCCTGTAACGACCGCGCCGCCCACGGCCCCAAGAAACCTCACCCCACCTCCCGCTCCACCGCCATGCACGACGCCGTGCCCGCCATCCAGCAAGACCCCGCCCTCTCCGAGTCCCAGCAGACCGAGCGCATCCACAATCTCTTCGCTGGGGCCCGCCAGCGCGCCCTCAGCCGCGAACCCGACCACACCCGCCACCCCACCCGCCGCTTCTCCGGCAAGGGCGTTTCCAAGTGCTGCGAAAACTACGCGCGCAACTGCTGGCTCAAGACCGCTTGCTGCGACAAGTACTACCCTTGCAGACGCTGCTTCGATGAGGATGAGGACCACGAAATCGACCGCCACGCTGCAGAGCTGGTCGCCTCCATCGCCTGCGGCGACCAGGACAAGCCCGTCGCCGACAATTGCCGCTCGTGCGGCGTCGTGTTTCAAACACGGCGCCGCACGAGCGGCACTTGGTGCCAAGTTGGCAGGTACTTTTGTGGCGCGTGCAAGTTTTTTGATGACTCCAAGGGGAAGGAGGTGTACCATTCCCACCGGTGTGGCATCTGTCGCGTGGGTATGGGGCTCGGAGTCGATCAGCACCATTGCAACGGATGTGGCAACTGTTTTCCGATAGACACGCGTGACTTGCACCCGTGCCGCGAGCGCAGCCTGGACGCAAAATGTCCCATCTGCACACACTACCCATCCCAATGCTGTCAGGACTATTGATGTGATGCGTTCGCAACGCATTAATTTTTTCATGGAGTATCTGAAGGTGCGGCACCAAACACATCTACTTCATTTGATGATATTTTACCTTCGGGAGAACCAACAATGTATCGGCGACCGACCTTAATCCGCCGATTGCTGTCCTCTGAAAACTTATCTTTGGATATGTACGACTGCCGATTCCCGTCATTTCGTGAGAGCCCAACGCCACATTTGAACGTCGAGCTTTCTGGAACGGCGAGAAACCCTGGTCCATATTCGGGAGCAGCACATTCCTTCGAGCGACCACTGCCCGTCCCATCCTCATATCCTGCGCCGGTCAGCCACGCAGCTGAAGTTTCTCAGGCAAGGCATGCAAACTCCTCGCGTCATTCGTAGCTAACCCACTGCTAATACTTCCCGGTTCTCTGGTTGCGTCGGCGCCTTCCTTCCCACACGCCACGCCTAAGAAAATTGTGTCGAATTATGAAGCAGTCGGTCCAGTTGGACGCTCGACTGTCGGCAGCGGAACTGTTCAGAGTCTTCCTGCCTCGAAGGTACCCCTAGCAACCCTACTGTAGTCGATCGTAGGCTACTCGTAGTACGACCGGAGGACTAGTAGTCCAACTGCAGTACCTCCGTAGTGTGCGTCCATACGGCTGTGCTCAAGTTACAATTTAGAGAGAAAATATGGAATACCGCTGTAGCATATGCGCAGTGCATTCGTAGTAGGGGTTAATATATGCATGGCTGCTGTAGTGCGACAGCAGTGTCAGAACATGATTTTGTCCCACTTCGATGGGTGTGGGAGCAGGCAGCCGTGGAATTCGTGGAACCAACACGCGACTGCCCGCAAGGGGAGCGGTGTCATGCAGCTTACCTGTAATGGTAAAGGCGGATAGGGACGCACGCAGGTGGCGACAGCTGTCATGGCGTCGTCGCGCCACATCTAAGCCGGCAGCGCCTCGCCCGAGTTTCCGTTCTTACCGCCCCCCCTTTCCCACTCCGCACTCGTTCCTTTTGGCGATTATCATCCCCCTAAAGGTGACGCTGGTGCAATGAGCACAAGAGATCACATGCGGAGCTCCAGACGCCGCGAGGGGTACTCGCCCCATCGGGCGTTGTCCCCGCCGCGCCGCCGGCGGCACCTTCCGCTTTGAGCCCGACCCGCATCCCGACTGGTCCTCCCACCTCATCTGCGAACCGTCCCTCTCCGATCAAACCAGCGAGGACCACCACCACCTCTTCAACGCTCGCTTGGCCGATCTCATCTCCACCCCGCTCGACCTTACTAAGCCCCTCTGGCGCACCCATTTGTTTTCCAACTGGTCCATCTCGCGCGGTGAGTGCAACGCCTGTACCCTTGTCCTCCGCGTCCACCACTCCCTGGCCGATGGTGTCGGCCTCGTTAAGTATTTTCTGGCTACCGTTGTCGACAAGGACGATCATGACAACCCGGCTCGCCTTCTTGTTCCCACCAGAAGATCCACTGGAAATCCCGAGGTCCGCTCCGGGTATTTCACATGGATCCGAGACTACTTCCATGATATTGCCCGCATTTTCATCAGGCCGTTCTTCAAGGACCCAGTGTGCGTTCTCACCCGTGCCACAATGACGGAAAAGAATATCTGCGCGCTTGCGGCCCCCGAGCAGGTCACTGTGGCGACGCTCAAGCTCGCTGTCATGCAGCTCAATGTAACAATCAATGACTTGATGTTGGCTGCGTTTTCGGGCGCCGTCAGGGAGTACGTTACGAGGTTTGGGGAAGACCCGTCGGCGCTGAAGGGGCTGAATGTGGCCATGCCATTCAATTTGCATGTGTTTAATGAGTTTTCGATGAGCGATGTATCGAACCAGCTGCTGATGGTCCCTGTAGCACTGCCAGTACACCTAAGAGAGCCCACAGAGAGGTTGCTCGCGTGTTCCAAGTCGATGAAGCGGCTGAAGAGGAGCTATCAGCCGATTTTCGCGACTGTGGCCATGCGCCAGCTTGCGGTTTTGCCGGCGGCCCTTAGGAGAAGGATGTGGCATGTGGTGGCAAGCTCGGCGTCGGTGCTGTTTTCAAACGTGGCAGGGCCCACGAAGAAAATGCTCATCGGAGGTGTAGCCGTCGATGAGGTGTATTTTTTCCCCCCACCTGATGCGCATGTTGGTAGCGATATTGGCCTGTTTTCGTATGCAGGAAAGGTTTTTATAGGGGCGGCAGGGGATGCTAATAGATTGGCTGAACCGCAAAAGTTGCTTGATTACCTTGTAGAAGAGCTTTTGGGATTTTTTGAGCTAGGGAAGAGTGTAGCTCGTAGTGCTCCCATCGAACGATAACAAACAGAATAGGCCTCTCTATATTTAAGAATGCAGCCCTGGATTTGCAGCTGCTGCACAACCACGGTTTTCGTTGAACCGTGATTGAAGGGGTTGGTGTCACGAGCAAATAGAGGTCCTGTGGTCATTCCACAGATTCTCTGATTGTGGGAAGGAGACATAGTCTTACAAATTGGAGGAATTGGAAACTATCCCCTGCATTGCGTATGAGAGTGCGATGATAGCGCTTCTGAAAGAACTGCGATTAAGGTCGAGGCATGTCCGATGATCTCGGGGATTGCAGCAGAACGCGGCACACCGTCTGAGAGTGCTCGATGGTCAAAAAAAATCTGTTGGGCTGAGAGGTGGCTAAACCCGTACAAACGTCACCAGAAGAATTGCGAAAGTCCATAGCAAGATTATTACACAGCAACTTTACTACGGGTCTTATATGCAGTCGTTAACTACAGACGTGGGAAGAATTTATCCTACCGAGAAGAAGCCCCGGTAGGATAGAGACTTGTGGTGCCAGAAAGAGTCCGATGCCCCCTCGACCTCTGTGGGTCGGGGGGCGACGGCGGCTTTATTGGAGTGTGCGGGATCTGTGCCCTAATGGCAGTGCACTGTCTAGTGTGCTGTCTTATCTGGGTGGAACCGCAGTGTGTGGGAGCTCAGACAGGCCGAGCGTCGAACTGGGTTCTGGGTGGAACCACACTCCCCCGGACGCGAGGGCTGCTCTGCGTGGGGTGGGGGGGTTCTATTTGTATGCTGCTCTTGTGTTTGGTGTACAGCGTTGTCTTGAGCGGCTTGGTGAAGATATCCGCTTTTTGTTCGTCTGTTGGTATGCGTTCTACCTTGATCTGGCCTGTTTGTACTGTTTCGTGTAGGAAATGGTAACGTATGTCAATGCATTTCCGTCGGCGTGTGGCGCCTGTGTTTTTCGCCATTTGAACTGCCGCTGTATTGTCGATATACAGTACTGGTTGGTTTGTGCGAAGTGTCGTTTCGCGTAGCAGGCTGGTGAGCCATTTTGTGAGGGTGGCGGTTTCGGCGGCGGCTATATATTCCGCCTCGCATGTGCTTTTTGCAACGATGGGCTGTTGTTTTGACAGCCATTGCACTGGTGAGCCGTTGACAAGGGTGATCATGCCTGTTATTGATTTCCTCGAGGTTTCGTCATTAGCGTAATCAGCATCCGAATACGCTTGAATGTTGATGTGACTGTGTGTTCCTGTTGGCATGAGAATGCCTTCGGTCCTGGTGCTATGAAGGCACTGTACGAGACGTTGTACGAGTTTCCAGTGCCTGTGTGCTGGACGTTTGAGTGCTCTCGCTAGCGTGGTTGCGGCGTATGCTATGTCCGGTCTGGTACTATCGGCTATGTACCTTATTTCCCCTATGGCTCTTCCGTAAATTTCTGCAATGTCCTCTCGGGTTGCTTCTTCATCGGTGGGGGGGTCGCACTTGATGCCGTCCAAGTATGGCGTTTGTTTGGGGTTGGCTTGGGACTGTTGTAGCATCGATACCACAGTGTCGATGTGGTGTGGTTGTGACAGGTGTATGCCTGCTTTGGTGTACTGTATGCACCAGTTGAGGTACTTGTCAGGACGTCCGAGTCGCTTGACTTTGTACTTTGCTTGTAGTACTATGTACAAGTCGTCGATCAGGGAGCGGTGTGTGGCGACTGGCAGAAAGTCGTCCATGCTGATTCCGACGAGGATGAGGTGGCCTCTGCATTTTTTGATGAACATTGATGTGTCGGCGCGTAGTTGTGTGTACCCATTCTTTTTGAGATGTATGTGCAACTCCGTGCTATATATGTTCGAGGCTTCTGGGGTGCCGTATAAATTTCCTTTCAGTTCGCCGTTGCTGTTCTTATGTTTGTACGAGCCGTCGAACCGGGCTGGTTGCCAGACAAAAACCTTTTTGTGATGTTGGTAATTTTCGTGAAGGTAGGCGCCGGTGATGTCAAAATGTTCTACGACCATGTTCATCGATGCAGCGATTGCGAATAGAGATCTGATCGTTGTGCGGTCGGCCATGTATGTGGCGGTTCGGTCTGGGTCATAGTGCACGTGCGGGCGCATCAGGTCCCCTCGAATTGAACATCGTGCTTTCCGTGTGACATTTGCTGGTGTTGCGTCGTGTTTATATCTGTACGTCATGGTCGTCGGTAGAATGTTTTTTCGTTCGGTGGGAGGTGATATGGATGTCCAGTCGATTGCTGCCATTTTGTCGAGTTGATCCAACTCACTGTCGTGTGCCGTTTTCCATTTACGGGCGTCCGGGAATTTCCGTGCTTGTCGGAGCGTTTTGGGGGCGGCTGAGGTGTGGTCGATCTTTGTCGGGATCGTGCGGGCCTTGCTGTGAGTGCGTTTGGATTTTTTGTGTGCACTGTGCTTGGCTTTGCGGTCTTCGATCTTTGTCGTTTTGTCGCGTGCCTGTTTTGTGCGTTTCGCTCTCTGTTGTGCACTGTATATTGCATTGGTGTTGAGGCAGGGGTCCCTCTGACGGTGGTATTGCTTGAAGTCGATTACTCTTATTTTTGTGTAACGTCTGGTGTGTATGTTCTGCACACAGATGTGGTTTTGATCCATGCCGTACATGTATCTGACTTGCTCTGCCTTTTTGTGCAGCTTCGGCTGATTTGATTTCAGTATGGGCGTGTAGCCCAATTGTCCGAACGTTAGTACTTTGGCTATTTGTGGTGGTTTGTTGTGCCATTCCGTGTACGGGATGTTTTTGATAGCGTGGTGGTACGTGATGTTATACTTGAAGACGGCATCGTTGAGCGCGTCCTGCCAGTGTATGGCGTGCAATCTGCTGTGCGATAGGGATGCACGGACTTTGTCCATGAGAGTACGGTTTATTCTCTCTGCTAGCGCATTTTCTTGCGGTGTGTAGGGTGTCGTCGCGCGGTATGAGATGCCTCGCTTGCGGAGTTGGTCCTGTACCTGTTTTGCCAAATATTCTTTGGCGTTATCGGTTACAAGGAGCCGAGGTTGTTCTCCGTTTGATGATGCTACGTGGTCAATGGCACTTATGATTGTTTGGGGGACTTGTGCTCGGTTGTGGAGGCAGTAGACCCATATGTACCTGGTTCTCGTGTCGATTACTGTGAGGAAGTAATTTGCATTGTGCTTCGACGTTGGTTTGATCGGACCACAGACGTCGGATGACAGACTGTGTCCTTTTTCTGCATGGTGTGTTGTCCGTCGATGTGGTCTTGTGGATGTTTTTCCATCTATACATCCGCTGCATGTCATCGTTGTGCTGGTGTTGGGCAGGCCGTGGGGCATGCCGGGTAGCAGGCGGCGTTTGGACATCAGTGCGATTGTTTTGGGGTTGGCATGATTTAATTTGAGGTGCCATTCATGCATTGCTTGTTGCTCTGGGGTGTGCTTGTGTATGCCAGTTGATGGTGCTGTTGCATTGCGGAGGTTGGGGGTTGGTCGTGGCTTCGTGCGGATTGGTATGCCTCCGCTGTTGGTGTTTGGCTTCGGTGTTGTCCTCTGCTGTGTTTTTGGGGAGGCGCTGGGACGTGTTTTTGTAATCGTGTTTTTACGTTGGTATGTTCGTGCGCCTTTGGCGGTTACGTCCGTATTAATGCGGTACTGTCCATTGCGAAAGTGTGCGGTGATTCTTGACGGTGGTAATTTGATCGGCTTGTGCAAGATGGCCTTGGTTCTTGAGAACGTGACATTGCCATGTGCTGCCAGATCGTGAACGGAGAGGAGGTTTTCCTTGATCTCCGGGGTGTGCACTGCTGGTACGGTGAATCGCTTATTCTTCTGTCGTATGGTGATGGGTCCCATGTGTGTAACAGGGGCGCGATGTCCAGTGGCAGTGGTTGTTAGTGTCCCGGTGCTGGTTTTCATACGCGCGTGGGGTGTGGCGGTATGAGTGGGGTTAGCACCGGAGTCCAGTATGTATGCGTTCTTACCTTCGGTCGTGCTGTTTTGGTCGTCCATGTGGGTTTCTAGTGCGGATAAACTCTCTTGCAACTCGTGCAACGTGTCGTGGGACTCGTCGGGATCGCTTTGGCCTGTGTACGCTGCGTTCGCACGTGTTGTTGTGCGTTTGTATTTGGTTCTACTCGCGTAGCACTGATCGGTGTCGTGCGATATACTGCCGTGGTTGCTGCACCACGTTCCGCGATATCCTGCTGGCCTCTGGTATTGTGCTCTGCCTGGGCGTGCGCGTGGTTTCGTTTTGTGTGGTGCGTGGTGAGTGTTCTGTGTGGGGTTGCTTGCGGGTGGCTGCATTTGCGACTGCATGATTTGTACTTGCTGTACATGGTTCGTGAATGCGTTGATGGTCAGCGCGGGGTTCCCCGCCATGATCATAGCCAGTTGTCCCATGTCGGGGTTCTGTGCTAGTCCCTGGATCATGTATCGAACGGTCGTTCTTTCTTCGTTGATGTTCGGATACTGTGCTACTTGCATGCGATATCTCAGTTCGCGGTGCTTTGTGACGTATTCTGTGAGGTCTTGGCCTGGGTGGTAGATTAGGGTCCT